TTTTTCAAAATGTTAGGAAATCTAAAAAATCAAGAGTAGCTAGGGAGGCCCAAAATTCTAGTCTCTCTCCTAAGCAATCCTATGAGAGAGAATTGGTCCGCCGACAATGGTTAGGAAGTGGGGTCCCCACATGGGTTTTCCGGTGTCAATAGGGTACTACAAAATGTTTTGGCAAAACATCGATATCACCCTTAACTCATTAGCTGGTGGTAAATCACTTTCTCAACTCCTTTTACGCGTTAATTAACCCCTCAACTCACTTGCAATGGCAAATCAGTCCCGTTGACATCATCATTCCGTTAACTAATTGTCCGTTCAGCCACCCCTCTGCCTTTGATGTGGCTTTTTTAGCTGAGATGGAGGTACCATCTGGACAAACCAACCCAAATCATCAGATCACAGATCAGGCAGATAAAAAATTAATTCTTTAAATAATATACGAAATTATATTAAAAAATAATATAAAATTTTTTCTTAAATTATTTTTCGGTCATCATCATCTTCCTCATTGCGTCTTGATCCTACTGGATTTCCGGTCAGATCTTTATCACCAATTCTCAACGGCTGCGATGTACTATGCCAAAATCAGCAAGTTTTCTGGATCAATTCTTGCAAAACGGCGCCACTGCAGCCAAGCATGGCTTTACGGGAGCTAGAATCTCGCCGATAAATGCTATCTCTGGCGGCAATCCTCCCTTCTAGTTCTAGTGCCGGTTCGGGCTCGCCCTCACCCGAGGACTCATACAGAACGCCAATTTGGACACGTTTCTGCCCTGCTCACGAGCCGCCTTCCCTCGTCGGCAAGGCACTGGTGTCCTCCGCCACCGTCACTGAGGTGACACCTCCTGCGAGCTCCCATACGTCGCTCGATCACGCCCTCGTCCTTGGTATTCTCACTCCTAACAGGCGACATTCCCCGATCGACCACCCTACAAGATCTCCGTTCGCCAACAGCTAGTTCCTCCATGTCCATGTAGAACATTCTCGATTGTTGCTTTTTCCGGCGTCCGGAGAAGATCGTTGAGAACCAAGAGGAGGATGGAGACGACAATGGCTCCTCGTAAGAATCCCGATGAGGATCAACCCTAGGATCCAAATTCAATTTGTCGGATCTGGACCTGAAAAGGTTCGAGATTAACGAGAACCTCCCTTTCTTCTTGTTGAAAGATGTAGAGGCTACGAAATCGGTGGTGGTGGTATATGTAGGACCCACCTGAAGAGTGCTATGGAAGCGGCGGAGGAAGTGGTGGTGGGGCCAAGAGACATCTCAGCATCCATCTCAGCCAAAAAAAAAAAAAGAAGCCACATCAAACACAAAGAAGGGGCGGATGAAGGGATGATTAAAAGTTAACGGAATGATAATGTCAGCCCTTAACAAAGGGGTTGATTTGTTGCTACATGTGAATTGAGAAATTGATTTGCGTATAAAATGGGTTAAGGGGATGGTTTGCCACCAGAGTTAAAAAAGTGATCTGCATGTTTTGCCAAATGTTTTTCAGCAAAGAGTGACAAATATTTTTCTTAATAGTTGATATATGAACCTAGTATTGGCTAATTATTTAGCGATTTGTGAGGTTCTTTTCTCATATATTGTGTTGTCTAGGTGAATATCTAGGGAAGCTAATTATTTTCC